ATTCTTAAAGATAGGACTTGCTATATAATCCGGGTTTTATAAGAAGCACAGGACAAGATGAAATTAGAAGTATACAAAATTTATTCGGAGGAATGCCTAAAAATGATAAAGAGAGATCCAGAGCATGAATAGAGAGCTTGTAGATTGCCATGCACATCTGACCCCTATGAGGGAATAGAGAGAAGGAGACTTGGGTAAGAGAATTACAGATTGCATAGCAGTTCCAAGAAAGTGTTAAAAAGGCTAATGGGGAGTCCTTATGCCAACAAGGCCATTTAAAGGAGCCTAGTGTCTCCCAGCAGTGGATCTGTATTTTAAGCTCATTGTTCTCACTAACTGGCAGGAACCACCTGTGGAAAGTGTGACCTAGGAGCAAATGTGCTGGAAGATCCAGAAGCTGAGGTCTTGAATAAATAATGTTCTCTGTAGCAGGAGACATGAGCAACACATTTTCATGGACTCCACAGCATCTAATTGTTGTATCTACAGGTCCTATCACAGCACATGACCAAATCAATGAGCACATAAATTACAACATTTCCCCCACCACAGGTGCCACTCACTGAATTTTGCCTATTACATCCTTCCTATCTAGTTTTCCAGATCACGTTAAATGTCTTTTATTCCAGGAGATTCTCCTCAGAAAAATCCTCTTCAGACTAGCTTCCTCCTTATTAGGAATCATAAATATATTCACTGTATTACCTAACATTAACTTGGCATCAAAATTTATACTGTCTATTTAATAAGTGAATATCTTTTTCTTCTAAGAAATCATGATTTCTCTGAGACACAATCCACCTGGAATACTTCTATATGTATTAAATACGTAAAATGACACTTATATTCAGAGTAATTGCTTAATAAATGAGTTTTGATCAAATATGAAATGAGTCCCTAGTTAGTAAAGTGTCTCAAGAATAACTTTGAAACATACAATTGAAGAATCAGGAATATGAAACACAGCAGAGTTGTTGCTGTAAGACAAACAACAGTGGCAACAAGAGCCAAGGTACAGGTTTTCCCTGGGAAAAATACACCTGTAGTTCCCTGAATGTAATTTTCACTTATGATATAAGAGATTGATGTACAGTGACAAAATTCTTGATGAATGGTATTTTCTTTCTGGAATTTAAACACTCTATCAAATATATATAATGACATATTACAAGGATTGAGAGGAATAAATACTGATTTCACTCACAATGGACTTATAAACAAAGGCATAATTTTAATTAAGGAATTTATGACAGTAGATAAACTGAAAAGGGACCATGTACACAGAAGTAATAATTGTTGGAAAAATTTTTGCTTATGTAAATACATACATTATTTGTTCCTAGAAACTTTAAAAATAATTGAAATATTTGGCATTAAAAATGTGTTGTTAGACATGTTTTAACTGAAGTTAACCAAATGATGACCAAATATTTCTTTTCTTATGATTACATAGAACTATTGTAATGTTACCAAAAAATATGTGATTCCATTTACTTGACAAATTATCATAATGGAAAAAATAAGGATGGAACAATTTATGCTACTGTATGACTTGTAGGTAGTAAAGAGGCAGTATGCAGACCAAATTTTCCCTTGTAACAAAACTTATAAGTCAATAATTAGTACTCCCAATATTGAGAAAAATATTGTTTAAACATTCTATAAAAGAGGTTTAACTCTTCCATAACAGTTTTGTAACAAGACTTTGAAAGATTATCAGTCAGGTCTTCATTTAGTAGACTAAATACCACCTACTCAATTTCTGTGATGAATGCAAATCTTCATCTAGAGGAAATATACAAATAGATTATCATGGTGTAACAACTTAATAACTAAATAGGAGTACCTATATAATTAGGGTTAAAAATATGATACAAATTTGCAAATACAAATAATTGTTTCCGTACTGAATTGTCAAACATGATGGATATATTCTTTCTATATGGAGATTATGTCCTGTATCACATATTTGTATAGCTTTTGAAGAAAAGAAGTAATAAAATGAAACACATAAGCAAGTAATAACTCCATCAACTTCTGTCTCTTGAATTTTTCTTTTCTTTAAAATGTCATTGAAAATACTGGGAACAGAAAACTTACCCAGTTTTCTGGACTTGTGTTTATTGAATATGTGAGTCTGTTTTTTAAAAATCAATAATTAAATATTCCCTGGTTACATTGATCTTCTCAATACTTTTCAACATTGTTCAACTGACCATAATTATCCAAAGAATACTGACATGTATTCAAATCTGAATATTAAATGTCATCTTTACCAAATTCATCTCTGCCATGTCATCCTTAGTATAGATTGCTACCCATATAGAAAGACACTCAATCTTTTAATATACCTAATTTAATGCTATTTAATGTGCAAGCAGAGCAAGAAAAGTCTATTTTATTCTCATAATTTGATAATTAAAAAATCAAATTTTTGCTTCTGTGGCTTCAATTATCCTTTATTATAAAATTCAATACTTACAATTCAAAACCATGCAGTTTAACTATCAAACATGTAAAGTTATTATTTACAAACTCTGAAGTACATCTAGACATCTGAGAAAAATTTTAAAACTATATACTTCCTTTGCAAAACAACTGAAAATCTTGTTCATAATTAAATTTTAGATTTCTGCATTATGAAGTTTACATACAAAACATTTCTACATGAAAGGTCTTTTAATCTGAACATTGCATTTGTTTTACATTAGGAGAAATTAAAAGTTATTATGATCATTTAAAATCTTTAGTTTCAAATTACCTAGCTGAAAAGTCTAACTCTCAGATATGGATCTCAAACATCACCTCCTGAATCTGAAAATATATGTTTACATTGGTAAAACCAAGATTACAGTACATTTATACATTCATTTTTATATCAAAGGATAATAATAATAGAATGTACCATATTTTAGTATTTATGAAATATTTAAGATTTCTTTTAGATTTTCCTGTGTGACAGGGCCTGTACTATGCCACATATATCATCAACATTTTATTTCATATTAACAATAATCCAAAGAATTAAATCCTGACTACATTTTACAGATAATAAAACTGACATACAGAATGTAAACACAAATAAGTATAAAGATTCTAAATAAACCAAGTAGTCTGGCTGCAGAGGCAACAGATGCTGCTAATACTTGAAATATTTTTAAAAGTGTTGTGTAGTTAATTTTTGATATTTTTCTAACAGGGAAAATTACATATAGTCATTTTGGACTTCAAATTGTTTATGACCCATGCTTAGTCAATAATCAGTACTATTGTTTAAAAATAATTATCTCTTCCTATCCTAATGCCATTGTCTCATTTTAAATGTTTAATCAATACCCTTGATCTGGAATTTAGCAAAAGCTTTCTAATTGCTCCCCACTGTCTTTTTTATTTCCCCCTTTCAAACTGTGCTCCACACAAATACTAAGCTTTTCAAAATATCTTTGTTATGCCATCCCCTTGTTTAAAATACCCACTCTTTTAAAGGTAAAAGTCCATTTTCTTAGAATGTTCTAGAAGACCTTACTTTGCCCCTACTTGTGAAACAGGCCTCAGGTCTCATGATTTCCCACATCCACTTTAAATTTCAGGTATGCAAGACAGTGCATACTTCTCACATTTGGAGTATTCTGTCTCTTTATTGGGATATCTTTTCACCTTTTTTATGACCATCATTCCTACACCTTGCAATTTATGGCCTACTTAATAACCATAGGACCACCATCATGTATAATACTATTTTGTAATCTTTAATAACTTATTAATCATTCTATCTGTTATTGTAACTCCCCAGAATTGAATCCACTCTTCAGCTCTGAAAACTTAGCAGCAAATATTCAGAGTACTCATGTATTAACAGCATTTAGAGAATTCTCTGGAATACCTAAACATCTCTTTCTTGGAGGAATCTTGCTCAGACATGTATATAATCAAGTGTCCTGTAGAAAACATCCATAAAGATCACTATTAAAAATAAATAAGTCACTTGAGACTTGGAAATGTATAACTAGAAACCAGGAATTTCCCCTGAACACAAGATATTTACTCATTAATCCCACTGTAATTCTCAAAATTTAGATGTATCACATTTGTACCAGTAAGCATAAAAACAACAAGACTCCTTAAAGTTGAAGTGGAATAAAAGTGATGAAAATCTTCAGTTTATCTGAATTGTACTTATATAGCACTACGACAAGTTTCAAAATTCAATCTGCCAAATATTAGACTAATATAAGTGGGGTTTTCTTGAAATAGTTTATAATGATAATATTCAGCTAACTCAACTAATTTAAAACTGGAAAAAAATAAAGGAATACATACATTTTCCAAATAAGATGATGATAGCTTATTTATAATTTCAGTCAATATAAACATTTTATTGTTTTACTGAATAAAATACTAAGCTACAACTATATTCTTACTCTAAAGCAATTGCTTTGAATTTTAAAGTGAAAACATTGAAGAAGAAATCTCATGTATAACTAAGAAGAGCCAATTAAAAAAACAAAAACAAAACAAAACAAAAAAGCTGTTAATACCCAGACCCTCCTTTTCCCACAAATTCAAATATAAGATGTTACAAATTCCCTTTTTTAGAGTAAGACCCTGAACTCTGGGAAAGCACAAAATCAGCTACTTTGCACCTGGCAGTAAATTCAAAGCACCATTTCACCTTAATCTCTATCCCCAACATTATGCCATATAATAAGGAAGAAGTCCAACTCCACGCTGATCCCTGGGTAATGGGATCTGTTACACATCCAACACCTCTAACTTTCCATGGGCTGCCCAAAGGAATAGCTTTTCCTTGCCAGTGTGAGTTAAGGGACCTGGCATAGTCTAGATGCCTGGGTGTGCTAGTGAGAACAAAAATAGTTCAGGTAGCATGCAACTGTTTACAAGACCAGAGCAAGATACACAGATGAAAATACCAATTACCTACCTCTCTCTGCAGAGAATGATACAGAGCATCCAAAGGTATCACATGTCTAGGGACTTACCTAGGAGTTGACTTGGACTTGTGAGGAGACCTGGCTTACTTTGGTTGCCTGGAAGGTACCACAAACAGAAAGCAGGTCAGCTGGAAAAATGGTTTGAGGCCCTCAGATTGATTGGTGAGTCTTTCCCTTTATGAGGCTGTGTCTAAAGACTGGAAGAGGTAGCTCTTTCTTCTTACACATATACACACCACTTAAATCAAAGATAAAAATGGAAAAAAATAAATATCTTGGAACCAACACTAATGAGACAGAGATATGATTTACTTGACACAGAATGCAAAATGATTTTAAAAGGTACTCAACAAAACAATCCATGAACAATGCGAAAATTCCAACAGAGGAATAAAAAATAAAAATAAAAAGTACCAAACAAAGAACTCAGAACTGTGGAAAAGAAATGAAATAAATAATTGACTAGAGAAGTTCAAAGGTTGACTAGATCAAGCAGAGGAAAGAATAAGCAAACTTGAAGTCAGGTTATTACAAATTGTCCAGTCAGAGGAACATCCTCCCACCAAAATAAAAGAGGAGGAGGATAACAGAATGAGAAAAAAAGAAAAATCAGAAATCAATAGTAAAAGAAAAAGAAGAAATTCTTAAATATATGAAAACTGAACAATATACTCTTGAATGGCAAACTGATCAAAGAAGAATTAAAAGGAAATTTAGAAAGTAACTTGAGGGAAAAAAAACACACCAAAACCAATGGAATGCAGCAAAAGTCATAATAAAAGAATTTATGTTGATAATGTAGACATTAAAAAGTAATACTTATTACAAAAATCATTTAAAGTATGTGAGTTAATGCATATGTTAATTAGCTTGATTTAGCTATTCTACAATGTTTCAAAGTCATGTAGTACTTGATAAATATACCTAATATAATGTCAATCTGAGTATAAAATTAATATTTAAAAATTATAAGGACTCCAGAAAAATTCCCTTGCTTTTCACCCCAAGGAAATAGAAAAATAGATCAAGCTAAATCCAGTTTAGCATAAAGAAGAAATTAATAAAGATTAGAGAAAAAATGGAGAATAAGAAGTAATTTTAAAAAACTTAAGAATTGGTTTTATAATAAGAAACACTATTGACCAGCATTTAGCTACACTGAGAAAGAAATCTCAGAAAATAAAATCAGAACTAAAAGAGACACAATTACAGATACTGTGATCATAAGATTTCTATGAACATTTAATTACCTGTGGTGAGCCGTGTTGGTAGACCTTTGCCGCCATTAGAAGATGGCGCCGGTCTCAGTTGTGGATCTTGGTAAACAACTCCTTATTAGGAAGAGTTGGCGCTCTGTCCCTCAATACCCTATGAGAAAACCCCACGTGGCAGCTTTTGATTGGACTTCAGTAAGCTTTATTAGGCTGTGTGTGGGTGCGTGGAGAGGAGCGCGCTTGAGAGAAGACTAGAGTTAAGGCCTGAATAAACCGCTGAAAGAAGAATCCTGTGTCGTGTCTTCCTTGCTGGTGAGGGGGTCACGACAATTGGTGGCCCGGACAGGGAACCGAATACCTCTCAATCTCAGGATCCAGAACTTTCAGAGGTCAGGGTGGTGCACCGGTAAGTTCCCAGGTAAGTGGGAATCAGCGGAAAAATTAGCGGGTCGCTCCTCTGTAAAAAGAGAGAGCGGGGATTTTTTTTGGACTTTCGCTTTATTTCTTTGCTTTCTCTTTCTGCATTAACGCCATGGGCGCCTCTGCTTCTAGCCCTATTCTGTTAGCCCTGGATGGACTGCTACGATCTAAAGGTTTAAAAGTTAAACAGAGTACTTTGCAGATGTTTTTAAAACAAGTAGATCTAGCGGCCCCGTGGTTTGCTTACTCGGGCAGTCTCACGACCCCCAGCTGGGAAAAACTAGGCAGGGATTTAGATTTTGCATATGAACAAGGGACCCTCGAAGGTGGGGTGATTACATTATGGAAGTTAGTAAGGGGTTGTTTATCTGACAGTAGATGTCAGGACGCCCTAACCAAAGGACAGGAGGTTCTTGAACAATTGCATGAGGAGAGGTCTGAGGGAGCTGAAAGTATTAAGAGTGGGGGAAGTGATAGAGATGATAAACGTTCAAGCCAGCCAAAACTAGACTTTATCCAGATTTGACTGAATTGAAAGCTGTTGAGGAAGACAGTAGTTCAGACAATGAGGAAGTATTGGAATTGCTATCACGGCAAGCTAGAGAGAAAAGGGGAAAAGGTGAAACTAAAGGGCGAAGTGATCCCCGTAAGGCTGTCTACACAGAACATAAGTACCCAGAGACAGATGTGGGATATGAGGAAGAGGGGGTGGATGCTTTGGAGGTTCCTTCTGACCCTCCACCCTATCCTAACCCAGGACTCAATAGGACGTTTCATGCACAAACATGGAGAAAGGTTCATTCGGACATGGGTCTAGCATTCCCTGTGTTTCAAGATGCCAATCGGGGGCGATATCATGAACCCCTTGACTTTAAAATTGTCAAGACATTGGCTGAATCAGTCCGAACCTATGGTGTGGATGCTGCATTTACACTTACCCAGGTGGAAGGCCTTTCTCGCTTTTATATGACTCCGTCTGATTGGGCGAGCCTAGTGCGCGCCTGTGTTTCTCCAGGAAAGTATCTGGATTGGAGAGCATTTATGTTAGAGGGGGCAGTAGAGCAGGCGGCCCAAAACCATGCGGCGGGACGCCCTGCCTGGGATAAGGACATGCTTTTGGGACAGGGCAGATTTGCCAATCAACAAACAGGGTACCCACCGGAAGTATATGAGCAAATCAACAACATCTGCATCTGAGCCTGGAAGTCCTTGCCTAACAGAGGGGAAGTATCTGGTAATTTAACTAAGATCATCCAAGGCCCTACAGAGCCTTTTTCTGACTTTGTAGCTCAGATGGTAGATGCAGCAGGGAAAATATTCGGGGACCCTGATAGAGCTATGCCTTTGATCAAACAACTTGTTTTTGAACAATGTACTAAGGAATGCAAAGCAGCTATAACCCCATATAAAAATAAAGGAATAGAGGCATGGATGAAAGTCTGTAGGGAAATAGGTGGGCCACTTACTAATGCAGGGTTGGCTGCTGCCGTTCTCCAGCTAACCCGAAAACCACCACCTCATACAGGAAAGTGCTTTAGATGTGGCCAGGAGGGACATTTTAAGCGTGATTGTCCCCGAACATGTCAGTTACAGGACAAAAAAGGGTCATCCTCAATTGTTCGACAGCCGGGACTATGTCCTCGTTGCAAAAAGGGTAAACATTGGGCTAATGAATGCAGATCAGTCAAGGATATCCATGGACAGCCAATATCAGATAGACAGGTGCCAAAAAACGGCCTGAAGGGCCCTCGACCTCAGGGCCCGCAAATATATGGGGCAATGGAGAATGGGACCATGGAGAGCAAAACATGGCCATCTCTACGACATCCCAAAGACAGCGGAGAACCACTACAGGTGCCGCGGGACTGGACCTCTGTTCCGCCTCCAGACTCGTATTAACACCTAAAATGGGAGTCCAATTGGTGGAAACTGACTTTAAAGGACCTTTGCCACCTGGTACTGTAGGGTTGTTAGTGGGGCGTGCTTCTTCCGATTTACAAGGCCTTTACATCTTCCCTGGAATTATTAATCCGGATACAATAGGAACAGTAAAGGTTATGGTAGAAGCTCCAAAAGGTATTGTGTCCATCTCCCCAGGAGACCAGATTGCTCAATTGTTAATTTTACCCAGTCTACATACCCGTTTTCCTGCTGGCTCCCATTTGAGATTAAACGATAAGATTGGAACTACGGGGGGAAATTGTGTATTTTTGTCCTTAGAAATGGATGACCGTCCCACATTAAAATTAACTATAGAAGGCAAAGCAATTTTAGGATTACTGGATACTGGAGCAGATCGTAGCATAATAGCAATGAAGGACTGGTCAAAGGGGTGGCCGGTGCAACTCTCGAATCAATCGCTGAGGGGTTTAGGATATGCTCAAGCTCCACAAGTCAGCTGTAGACATCTATCATGGAAAGATTCTGAAGGACATTCTGGCATTTTTCAACCATATGTACTTGATCTTCCAATCTCCCTATGGGGACGTGATCTTATGAAGGACCTGGGGTTTCAACTTAGTAATGAATACTCAACAGTTGCCCAAAAGATAATGCAAGACATGGGATATAGACCAGGTCTTGGATTAGGTAAAAATTTACAGGGACGTAGACGTCCCATACAATCAATACCAAAACTTAACAGACATGGGTTGGGTTTTTCTTAGGGGCCACTGAGGATCAGGTGCCCATTACCTGGAAATCAGGGGAGCCAGTATGGGTGCCTCAGTGGCCACTCTCCTCTGAGAAACTGACTGCAGCACATGTTTTAATTCAAGAACAGTTAAAGTTAGGACATATAAGGCCATCCACTTCTCCTTGGAATACACCCATATTTGTCATTAAAAAAAAGACTGGAAAATGGCGGTTGCTGCACGATCTACGGGCTATTAATGCTCAAATGCAACTCATGGGATCTATTCAGAGAGGGTTGCCTTTGCTTTCTACTATCCCTAAAAATTGGCCAGTGATATGTATAGATATTAAGGATTGTTTCTTTTCCATCCCATTGCATCCTCTAGATTCAGAACGTTTTGCTTTCACCTTGCCTTCGTGTAATCACGAGGAGCCTGATCAGAGGTTTGAGTGGGTGGTTCTGCCGCAGGGCATGGCAAATAGTCCTACTATGTGTCAAATGTTTGTCGGTGCGACTATTGCTCCACTCAGACAAAAATATCCATCATTAAGGTGTGTACATTATATGGATGATATTTTGTTAGCAGCAAAGACCCAAGGTATGTTGGAAGCCGCTTATACTGACTTAGTACATTTGCTACAGTTAAAAGACTTGCTTATTTCACCTGATAAGGTACAGATAGGGGACTCCATTAATTATCTTGGTGCTACTATCTCTTGTAAAGCTATCACACCCCAAAAGATAACTCTGAGGACTGATAAATTACAGACGCTAAATGATTTTCAAAAATTATTGGGTGATATAAATTGGATTAGAAGCTACCTACATATTCCCAATGTTGAATTAAAACCTTTGTATGAAATTCTTAAAGGCGATTCAGATCTTACTTCCCCTGGACATCTTACTGAGGAAGCCAGGTCAGTGTTGGTTAAAGTGGAAGAGGCTATACAACATGCTAGCTTTTGTAGGTTTCAAGAGGATAAACCTCTCCAACTATGTGTGCTCGCCACTGTGCGACAACCTACTGGAGTTTTATGGCAAGATGGTCCTTTACTGTGGATACATCCACGTATGTCCCCTGGAAAATCCCTTGAGTATTATCCTGATGCAGTTGCTTCCTTAGCTATGTTGGGGATACAACAAAGTGT